ACTTCTCTCTTCTGTTCTACTGCTTCATATATTTCGCTTTAGCATTTGCTTGGCTGTTATATATCTTTGTCTACGTTTTTAGAATTCTGACAAAATGATTATAGTTTCTGCTTATTATCCAATGATTCCATTTTGAACATGGGTCACCAAGGGTGATTTTCTTTCACAGATCTCAAGGAGGACCAGAAAAAAAAAAGGGGGACATATTTATAGATATGAACATTAAAACTGAGCATCATGAATAGAGGTCTGAAGCCACATTCACTACTTATCTCTTCACTTCATAGTTGTCCTGGAGTGACCCCTGAGGAATCATAGAGCTCCATAAAATTTGTTTTGAAAAGCACTGTTATAAATTGTTAAAATCCTTTGACATTTACATGCTGAGTAAATATGACCTAATGTCAGAAATATTTACATAATAATTTTGGCTTAGATTATCTCATTTATTTTCAAAATAACTTTCTTTACAATTCCCACTCAATGCATTTTCATTGAGAAAATATGGATAAGCACAAAGGATAAAAATCATCTGTGACCCCATTTCCTAGAGATAATGGTTGTTAATATGTTGACATTTCTTACACTTATGAAATAACTCTAATCCTGGTTAATATTTTATATATGATAATTATGAATCTGGCATTTATTGACATAGTCTAGGTCCTGCCTATGCTGCTGTTTTCTATGTGGAAGCCTATCATGTAATTTGATGAGCTATGACGTGTTAGATAACCTTCCAATGACTAATGACTGTACCTCATACCCTTCAATAAAACAAGTAACAGGCTGATGCTCAGGTAGGTAATTAGCTTAAGATTTCAAGCTGTGAGTGCAACATCTTTCTCACCTAAGCAACCAGTTAAACTCTGCCCTACTGAAGTTGTTTTTAAACATTAAAAAGCAAAAAAACTCCTTCTTTAACTTGAAATAAAATCTTAAATGGAATCCTAAGTACAAACATAATCCAGTTCTTATCGTCTGTACGTGTGTAAAGCAGGCAGGGGGGAAGGCTGGTTAGTCTGTTCAGTCCTGTACTGCCTGGCTGTCCACATACCCAAGTCATCATGGAGAACTTCAGAGCTCTGGGACAGAGTCTGAAAACTCCACAGCTCTTTGAGATGTGCTCAGCTGGTTTTTCTAATGAGCTGGATGGCTACTGCATCTATATCGTTTATGAATCCTCAGACGATGTCTGACGCTCAGTATTTCAAGTATTTCCTAAAGTTAAAGAAGGAAAATCTGTCAGGGGGAATGAATTAACACATATCCATTATTAGTCTCCCACCCTCAAAGAAAAATCTGAAAGATGACTGATAAATTAGAACAAATCTAATTTATAGCACCATGAATGTAGAGAGAAATAATAGGTACTAAATGAAGGCAAAAAACTATGGAAATAAAACACTTGACAGCCTTGGTCTTGAGAAAATAACCCTCTCTTCAGGAAGAAAGCATGGCATAAAAAATACCTAAAGACAAGTTAAATGTAAGTTTTTGCAATTGGTCTGATAGAAATACTAAGAATGGAGAGACCAATGTAAACTGTAGCGAGGAAACCATGACGCTGGCTCCTGAGATGGGTCCCAAAGCATACCTGGGACTTAGATGGGTGAGGAAGCATCACAGTTTAACAGGAACAACAAGCACTCAGTGCAGAGGCAAAAAGGGAAAATACTTTCCACGAGGAAGGTGGCAGAAAGCACTCTAGCTAGAGAAGAAGTGGTCTGCTGGGTCCCGGGCTGCCCCAGTGGGGTGGAGCCCAAGTAGTCGTGTCTTGGAAACACCGCCGTCCTGACCTGGTCCTCAGGGCACTCACCCGAGTCCTCCCACTTCAGTGGCCTTAGCTCAGCACTGACCACGTTCCAGGCGGGTGGGGAACGCAGCGCTCACGCAGGACTGTCGGTGCTGGATTCTGGACTCTGCTACTTTATTCCAATTAAACTGCTGTTCGTGACACAGAGAACCCCTCAACGACCTCCTCCTTCGCTTCTGTCGGGGAATGGCCCAGAAGGAGGGAGATCTCTACGGGGTGAAGCGGCACAGAGCGACCCCGGCCTGCGTCACTCTCCCTGTCGGGCCACGGGGGGGGCCGACCGACCGCGCGGCCCCACGTCTCTCGACGAGGGACCTCGGGGCCTTCGGCTTCCGCGAGGCCACCTGTGCCTCGGTCCGGCGGCGACCGGCTGCTGGCCTGTCCTGCCCCCTCGCGACGCACTCACCGGGGCGGCCCTCGACGCGCGCGCGGCCGCCGGCACGTCTGCCCTGCCACCCCCGGGAACCGGCGACGGCCGCGGGGCCCGGAGGCAGGGCCGGGCGGCTGGCGCGGGCCACGGAGCCGCGTCTGCGGTGGGTCCTTTTCGGTGGCCTGGGCGGCGCCGAGTCCGTCAGGGCCACCCGGCTTCCGGAAGGCCACCCCAGCGGGGCCCCTTCACGCCGCCAGACACCGCTTGAGCGAAGGGCGCGAGGCCCGGCGGGCGCCCACCCGAGGCCCTCGCGCCGCTCGCGGGGTAGCAGGGCGACCGGACCGGCCGGCGCGTGCTTCCCCGGAGAACGGAACTCCCCAGGCGGCGGGCGCACTTGGGCCTAGAAAGCGGAACGCCGCGCTCCGCCCGCCAGCGGCCGCAGGGGGGGTGGGCAGGCGGGCCGCTTCCGCTTCCGGGCGTGGCCGCGGCGCCTGCCGGCCGTCACGGAGGCGGCCGACTGGGCGCCTGCGCGGGGCGGGGCGCCAGGGTTCGCCTCCCTGGGCAGAGGCGCGGTGCCGCGTTCCGCCCGCGTCGGGCTTCCTGAGCGGTGGCGCGAGGCAGTGACGGTCCCTGAGCTCGCGGCAGGATGGAGGCGCGCGCGGCGAACGGCGGCCGGGGACGGCGCGGGCCCGGGGCCCCGCAGGCCGGGACCAACGGGCTGCCGAAGCACTCGTACTGGCTGGACCTGTGGCTCTTCGTGCTCCTGGACGTGCTGCTCTTCCTCTTCGTGTACCTTCTGCCCTGGTGAGCCGGGCGGGGGCGGGAGGTGCGGGGCGGGAGCGGGAGGTGCCGGAGCGGGAGCGGGAGGTGCCGGAGCGGGAGGTGCCGGGCGGGAGCGGGAGGTGCGGGGCGGGAGGTGCGGGGCGGGAGCGGGAGGTGCCGGGGCGGGAGGTGCGGGAGCGGGAGGTGCCGGGCGGGAGGTGCGGGAGTGGGAGGTGCCGGGCGGGAGCGGGAGGTGCCGGGCGGGAGCGGGAGATGCCGGGCGGGAGGTGCGGGCGGAGGCGGGAGGTGCGGGGGTGGGAGGTGCCGGGCGGGAGGTGCGGGCGGAGGCGGGAGGTCAGGGCGGGTGGCCGGTGGCCGGCGGCCGGACCGTGCCCGGGCTGCGCGTCGGCGGCCGCTCGCCATCCCGGCCGTGGCAGTCCCCGGGTGGTCTGTCGGAGAGCGGTGGCGGCGGGCGGCCGAGTGCGCCACGCACGGGCCCTGGCGTGTCCTGTGGCCGTGAGCAGGCCTCGCGGGGACGCAAGCTGACCAGCCCCAGCCTGAAGGTCGGCGGCTTCGCCGGCCGCTGCGCTCGCCGAGCGTGGCGGTTCCGGGAACCGGCTCCCACCCGGCTGTGCTCCCGGGAGCCCGGGCTGCCGCCCGCCCGCCCGGCGCCCCCCCCCCCCGACCCCGCCTGCCGAGCCGAGGGCGCTTTAGTACCCTTGCAGAAGCCGTGGCCTCGGTTTCCCTGGCCACCCTGAAGAGGGGCAGGGGTAAAGTGAACTTGGGGGAGAAGCAGCAGACCCCAAGAGCTGGGCCGGTGGCGAGGACAGCTCTTCCCAGCTCCTCCGCCCCAGCCCTGCCCCTGAGTTTTGGCAGGCGCGGGTACGTCCGCCTTCGGCGTCTGACTTCTTGGGTGGTGTGGCGGAGTAGAAGGCAGAGGGCCCGCGGGGGTGAACGGTGAAGGATTGGGGTTTCTATGAAGTCCTCCTCCACAGGCATTCCTAGAGTTTCCAGTCCCCTCCCGCCCCATTTTTAGTAGAGACCAAATACAAGGACAGTGATTTTTTTTTTTTGTTCGTTTCGTTTTTATTCTTAATAATGACCAGAATTCTCAGCTCTGGGTGGAAAAATGGAACTTGAAAACTTTCTACACAATTTAAAAAAAAATTCTTGGGGGCTGGGGATGTGGGTCAAGTGGCACATGCTCACCTGGCATGTGCCGCACTGGATTCCATCCTCAGCACCACATAAAAATAAAGATGCTGTGTCTACCGAAAACAAATGAATATTAAAAAATTCTCTTTTAAAAAATTCTTTTCAATATGTAAATCATTTTGGGGATAGACCTGTGACAAAAACAATTTCAGAGTGGCATAAAGTGCTAAAATGGGCAGATAGAGGAAACATCCGTGACAGAAGTTTGTTTTTTACAGATGGGTTTGCTGACATCCCAAGATCACTGGATTGTGGAGTGAATTCTGAAAATGAACTACAGTCTTCTTGAACAAAGAAGATGGGATTGTGCAGAATTTCAAGTCTCCAAGGGATCTTCCTTTCTTTTTACATGTTCTTCTAACTCATTTGGGGAACTACTAAATGAATAGTGATCTCATTCATAGCCAAGTTCTTAAAACTAAATTCAGTGTTTCACATTTAAACTCTTTTCAAACACCTGATGTCTTTATACGGGCTAGTGTAGAAGTAAAATTTGTACTTCAAAGCTTAGCATATTCACCAAGAAGACAGTAATGTCTTTACTGTTGTAAGAGTTGGTCTGGGTTTAATTCAGTCACATGAGGGGGTGTGTAACTAGGTGAGGTGAGGTAGTTGTAAATTCCAAAGTTATTCAGGAGAGAGAAAAGGATTGGTGTTCTGAGATTGTGTAGAGGCTGTCACTAACACAATAGAGTCCACATATTGGCTCTACACATGCTTAGTTTTTAAATGGTCTTTTCATGACCTTTGAAATGCCCGTGGGTGAGGATCACAAAGGAGATGGCATTAGATAGTGGAAAGCCCGCCTGTACCCTGAAATAGGAATGTTTCAAGCCGTTTTGTTTTTTTTTTTTTTTTTTTAATTATTGTATAAGGTATGCTTGTGTCCAAAACATTTGCTTTCATAATGCTTGTAACTTACTTGAATACCTCCGCTGACAGTGTGATATTTACTCATCCTACAGAGCCCTCCTCTTTGGCCGCAGCATTTTAAACATAGCTCTAGGCCAGGCAGAAATTCTTTCCTTTGTAGAGATTGTTCTGTCTTTGCTGTTCTTTTTAAAAATCTAATTGGTATTAAACTCAAATCTAATTGTTATTTAAATCCAATTATTTTACTGATCTGGGGTGCTCAGCGGGCATTTCATCAGAAAGATCACAGATCACAGGATTTGGCAGATGTGAACTGTGTGAAGTAGTCCCCTCCCTGTGATCAAGGCGTAAGATCCAGGGAATTCTGCATCCTCTGCCTTTCAGAAGGGTGCTCAGGGTCAGGGTCAGGCCTGGAGTTGCCCTTGGATGATCAGTTGGCCTGGTGACTCTTAGTTATGCCTTCAGGGTATTGTTGCTCTGCACAGAGAGCATTCTGTGGAAGGTGTGGTTGAAGCATCAGGAGGAACAAAAAAGGAGATTGTACTGAGTGTAATAAATGATTATGACCTGCTTTTCTGCTGCTAACAATTTTATCTAATAAACATTTACTTACATAGCTGAATTGGTTTTTTCTCAGCAAATTATCTGGTGGTAAGGTTATAAAAAGTTTAATAGTTCTTATGTAGCTTACTGTTAGAGCACCCACAGACTTGTAATCATCATCCCTACCACCTTTCTGAGCCTAAAATCAGCCTACTTTCACATGTTCTGAAAATTTCTAGCATAGCCAAGATGGAAAAATCTTACAATGTGATGGCTAATCTTTTGTGTGTCAGTTTGAGCTAAGGATCCGAGAAAGCTGGTAAGACACTGTTCCTGGGTATGTCCAAAGAGATGTTTCTGAAGGAGATCAGCATTTGAACCAACAGAGCAAAGAAAGATTTTCTCCCAGTGTACAGAGCATCATCCAATCCCATGAGGGCTGGAGCACTAGAAAGGCAGAGGAGGGGTGAACCACAACATCAGTACTCCTGGTACCTGGGCAGACTTGGACACCAGTGCTTTTCCTGGGCCTCTGGTTTGCCGTGGGCAAGGCCATGGGACTTCTGAGCCTCAATAATCACATGAGCCAATCCCTCATACTAAGTTTCTATATATGCTGTTCTTTTCTCTGGAAAAACTTCACTAATGTGCTGATGTATTACATGACTAAATGGTGGCAGCATGAGGGCCTGGATCCTACTCAGATGAGTAAGAAACCATACCCACCACCAAACTGCTCATAGTGCCCATACTTTGGAGGCTTCTGAACTGTATAAATGGAATGCCATAAAAAGTTGGAAACTTGCTACAACAAAAAGACATCAGTTCATTTGCAAACTCACTTTTGATTTCATGGAAGTAAAATGAGGTTTAAAGTACTACTTGAAATGAATTGGCTTAGCAGTTGTAAGGACAGTTTTAAGGGTCTCTTTACCTGAGCTGGGATTGTGGCTCAGTGGTAGAGCGCTCTCCTAGCACTGGCAGGACCTGGGTTTGATTCTCAGCACCACGTAAAAATAAAGGCATTGTGTTGTGTCCATCTACCAAAAAAAAGGGTGTCTGCACCTGAAAATTTCAGCATATAGAGAGCACCAAGGGCTGGGGCTAGGGCTCAGTGGTAGTGCACTTACCTGGCATGTGTGAGGCCCTGGGTTCGACACTGGGTTCCATTTTTAGCACCATATATGAATTTAAAAAAAAAAAAAAACTAAGGTCCATCAACAATAAAAAAAAAAAAGTACCAAATGACCCTAGAAGGTATGGAATTGCATTTGGAAACCCCAGATGTCTATGGTCAGTGAGGGTATGTAATGTAGGTGGTGCTCAAAGACGAGGTAAACCAGGGCCAGTGGGCCAAATCGGGCTCACTACCTGTTTTTATGTTTTTTTAGCCTCTAAGCTAAGAATGGCTTTTACCTTTCAAAATGAGAGGAATCAAAGGCTTCCACAGCAAAACCAGCAGTCCAATTCCAGGGTTGGGGCTGATTGGAGCAGCAAGCCCTTCCCTGTGCATGCCATCTGTGCTCCCTGTCACTGCAAGAGCCCCGGGCTGCACAGTGAGACCAGCTGCTACCCAGAGCCTCTGTCCTTCACTGCCTGGCTCTAGGAAGTCTGCTGTCGCTCTGGCACTGCACTCTAGACTGGACAGGTTTAATCAGGAACACCTGGGGTGACATGAGCAGTGATTCCAAGCACCCTTGAGCTTTAAATTGACTTCCATTTCCCTTAAACAGGACGCACGGGAAGGGGAGTGGGGAGAGACAATTCACCAATGCAAAATTCAACCATGTTAACTTAAAACACTTTATCTTAAAAACTTTTGAACCAAAAGAAAATGATTTTACATGAAAATATAATTCTGAAGACAAGTATTTTAAACATTTCAATAATGCTTGCCTGTATTATAAAAAGTTATAACATGAAAATATAAAAATATTAACAGGCACCTCAGAAGTAGAGACTTTACAGGGGAATGATTAGATAGTATGTATGTTTTGAATCTACTTGGAGTGCTGAATCAACAAAACCAAATGGTTTCTGATTTGTTTAGTACCAAATGGGGAAGTTTCTTAAAAAATGAATAGTAGGTTAAAAGGCAAAATTGGATACTGCTATTTAATGTTTGCAACTAAACCGGATGTTGAAAAGGTACATTTAACTTATAAAATCAGAAATTAGTGTAAATGTTTCAGTTAATATATTTCAAACTGAACATCTTGACCAAATAGAAGTTAATACGAGCCCACACAGTTTTTGAAAGCTATTAAAAAATACTTGAAGCCCCCATCTTTAGTACTTTACATTATCAGAGCAGCAATGAAAAACACTGACATTTCAGATACAGTTCTATAAACCTTACATTACTTACAAACCTTCCATTATAAAAACTTAAAAGTTTTCTTAAAAGATGATAAAAATTTGAGTTGATATTCAACTATTTCTAAATTGAGAGCATATAAAAAGGTAAAAAAGGATGGTGAGAAGTTCTCTATAGGCAGAAGACAGTCTTGGTGGCCAAAGTCAAAGGGCTAGGGTTAGCTTTTATAATCAATTATCTAAAAGTATTCATTTTAACCACTTAACATTTTGGAAAAATTTAACACAATTTATGGAATTGGCCAAGATATTAAACTTCTTAGTTTACTGAATCATAAATTCTCAATTCTCTGGAATAGACACTATAAAACTATTCTCAATCCCAATCAGGTTATCAGCTTAGTATAAAATAAACTGACAACTAAGGAGATAAGGGAGTTGTTCTCGCTCCTAAGTTCACCATATGAAAATCCCTATGAGTTTTAAAGAAAGCCCTTTCCATGAAGGTAGCCGGGGTAAAATGATCTGAGAAAGAAAAAATTTTTGGAAGGGTGCCCAAATTAGATACCCATTTCATTAAAATTAAACCCTCTATATGGAAGACAACGTTAACCTGGAAGCCTGCGTAGTAAAATGAGTTGACAACCTAGGAGTGTAAGACTGGAGCAGAGAGAACCTGGGCAGTTTGACAGTCCCAATTAAGAGGACTCAAGGTTAATTCCTAACATTGGTTATTAGCAGCCCAAAGCAAATGTAACCAAAATAAAAGTCTTTCACATTTCACGTAAAATCAGAAAGAAAAAAAAAAAAAAGTAACAAGATAAATAAATATACTTAAGTTCACACTTTTGACTTCTCAGCTCGTGGCTAATATTTACGAACACATATAATGGTTAAAGGCCTATTTACGTTAGCCAGATACTCTGAAGATATATGTTCTAGGAGAAAAATTAGTCCTGACCTTGAAATTTTAAAAAGTGTTAATCATTAAGGCAATTTTCCCCAAGATTCTACAAAACTCAAGGTCATTTTTTTTTTTTTTTTAAGACACTTGAAGGGCCCAGGCGTGGAAGAAATCGGGAACAAACTGATGAAACCTTTAGGCTACCATCAAAAAGTGCTCTTAAAGGCAGACTCTGCTTTGACCTGACAACTCATGTGCTGCTGGCATGCAGACGGGCAGTTCCCGTGGAACTGGTCAGTTTGATACTATGGGTCTACTAGCCATGTTAGACGGGGACAAATCTAATTTTTATTCAACTGTTATATATGGCAAATAGTATTATATATTCCCTGACTTGCTATTTTTCAAGGCATGCCACGATATTCAAAGTGAATTTCCAAAATACCCAATAATTGATCATTATAGAGCAAAACATTTTAACATTATATTCATTTGTGTGTGTGTATGTATATATATGATTTTTAAAATGCCACAGATTTGATTTTCTTGGTCACTAGGAATATCTTCATGGCCTCTAAGAATAAGCTGGTGGACTCCATCATGTACCTGCTACACTGCATGCTGGACTTGTGGAAGGACAGGGTGGGCCAAGGCCATCATGTGACAGGTCCTACGCTTCTATCACTCTGAGTTGGTGAACGGCTGTGACAAGAGCCAGTCTTCTCTGGAAAGCAGAGCTTGGGCCTCTGATGGTATTTCAGTCTGTACGTATCAGTCATGCAGCTGTCAACTGAAAAATAGGTAGTTAATGAGACGGTCTCACTTGGGCACGGAGAACTAGAGTCCAGTTCTGGCTGGCAGAGTGCATCAGCAACTGTAGTTGAGTTTGCCCGAAACCCACAAGCTGCAGTGTTGAACAGGCAGGGGGCTCTGCTGCCCGTGCGCATCTTCACTTGAAGGGTCTCTCTGCATCTCAGGTGGTCCGCATGTGTACTGAGTTCTGAACCTGGCTCCGACACTGCGCTTGGCCTCGGGGGACCACTGATCACCCCTGAAAGTCTGACGTCAGGCACAGACTCACTCCTCTCCGACTGTGGCACACTAGTAACAGCATGTTTCTTTGGCGGCAATGCGGGTGGCAGAAGCTGACAAAGAAGTTCTGGCCCCTGGCAACCATCACATCGGCAGGCTGGCTGAGCCACATGTCCCGTGGAAGGAGAGTTCTCATAGTAGCATGGCTCTATCCTGGTCTGCTGCGGAACAGCGTCCGGCTTTGGGCCGACAGCCCTGGAACGTGCAGAACAGGATGAAGACAGGGAGGCCACTTCACTACTGTTCACTCTCTTTCCAGGCGAACTGTCACCGAGGTGAAAGGGCAAAGCTGCCCTCTCAGAATGTTCTCTACTAAGCCACTCAGACAAGCGGCCTCCATTCGGTTTTTCAGATTCCCGATGACCTGACTGGTGGGTGTGCTCAGTGTGGTCCTTGAGTATTTGGGGGCCAGGTGAAGGAAGGCAGTTTCCACTGGTTTCACGGGCATGTGGCCTAACATACAAAGATAAAAGCAAAGCTGAAACACCTTATGCAATAGGTGAAACTAGGGAATAAACATTTCTCTATTTGGGTTTTTCCAATGCATGGTTTATATTATTTTTGCAACACAATAGAAATGGGAAATATTATGCCACCCACAATATGCTAATGCTCACCAGAAATGCTCATCATTACCAGATTCATATTTCTTCTCTTTTTGTGTGGTGCTAGAACAGAACCCAGGGCCCTGGGTAGGTACTTTGCGACTGAGCTGCACTTCCACCCACAAATCACATTTCTCACCATTAGAAACGTACTTTAAAGTTCATTTCACTGAAATTACATTTATCAGTGATGAAATACAGCACAGAACTTACGGAAAATGCTACAGACAATTCAATACTCTACATTGTTCTCGCCCCTTTCTAACACTGAAAGGCAACAGGGATGAAGATGTTTAAGATCTTATATCAACACTTTAAGGATGGTGAATAATTAATTTAACTTAATCAAAATTATCTTTGATAAAGTAATAGCTAATTCCTAAGGTGGAGATAAATCATATGTTTCAGATTTTTTTTTTTTTGGTAGCTGGGATTGAACTCAGGGGCACTTGGCCACTGAGCCACATTCCACCCCTATTTTGTATTTTATTTAGAGACAGGGTCTCACTGAGTTGCTTAGCACCTCACTTTTGCTGAGGCTGGCTTTGAACTCATGATCCTCCTGCCTCAGCCTCCCAAACCACTGGGATTATAGGCGTGGGCCACCGCACCCGGCTATGCTGCAAATTATTTGTTTCATGATTTCTCCTATGAATTTTTCCTATGAATTCATAGAACTGAACTAGAGAGGAATGGCTAGGTAGATGCAGTTATCAAATCTCAGCTCCACTGCTTTGAGCAGATTACTTAATGTCAACCTCAAATTTTCTCATTTGTAAGATATAGCAGTTCCCCCTCATCCACGGTTTCAGTTACCCACGGTTGACGTCAGTCTGAAAACACTGACTAGAATATTCCTAAAATAAATGACCTGTGAGTTCTAAACCGCACACCCCTGAGTGAGCAGCGTGAAGACCCCGGGCCGGCCTGCCCAGTCTGCTCAGCCTCAGTGCCTCAGTGCCCGGAGCACTCGGGTCTGCCTCGGTGCAGGTACGCGTGGGCTCTGAAGCTCAGCAGGGAGGCTCCAGCCATGCAGAAGCTCAGCAAGGTGCTGCCCACGGGAGGGAGAGCAGGACGTCTCCTTCAGGGAAATCAGACAGTCTGAGGTTGCCATGATCTAGACTCTTCTGTACAATCTCGAAGGAAACAAAGTCGTGCTGGTTTTGCTGTCACATCTCTAACAAAGTCACAGCCATGGGGGCATGACAAGCACCTGGTATATGCAAGAGAAGCGCAGTGTGTGGAGGGAGAGCTTGGTGCTCTGTGAGGTTCTGGGCACTCACTGGGTGGGATCCTGTACCCTCCTGCCCTGGCCGTGAGGGGCCACTGTGCCCCTCCTCACAAGAACACCAGGTCAGAACAGTGACGTGCTGCTCCTGGCACCTTGCAGGCCCACCGCCCACGGGTACAAAACCTCCGGTGAGTCCCACTGTTCTAGGGGAGAAAGGCAGATCTATGCCTTCCTGATGAACGAAGAATCCCTATACCACGGGCATCCGCGAGGAAAGGGCTTGGCATTCCCAAGCGTCAGCATCACCTTTTCACCAAATGACTTTTTACTTGCAGATGTGGTCCTGGGTGGAGCTCACGGGATTTACAGCCTGCTTCCAAGTCCTTACGTTCTCTTCTAAAATCTGGGTTGAGAGAGGGAAAAAGAGGAAAACAAAATTATTTACATGGTCTTATAGAAATCATCCCATTTATTTATTTATTTAATATTTATTTTTTAGTTTTAGGTGGACACAATATCTTTATTTTCATGTGGTGCTGAGGATCGAACCTGTGCCTCGCGCATGCCAGGCGAGCGCGCTACCACTTGAGCCACATCCCCAGCCCTATCCCATTTATACTTACGTCAAGTTTTTGTGTAAACCAGGCAATTCTCTTCTAATTTAAAAACAAACAAAAATGAATTCTTGGAGACTTAACTGAAAACATCACCCCTTTTCTGAACTAACTCCTTTCTGCGATATCAGTGATCCCTGCGCTGGAGGGTATTCCTGCTGGGTCACGTGGAACTCTGTGTTCCCTTACAGGATCTTTACTGAGGAAGTGCCGTCAGTCAGCTTTGCACCACTGTGAACAAAATGCCCAACAAGAGCAGCTCAGGAGGAGGGAGGCTCCTTGTAGCACCCACTCCCGGACATTTAGTCCTCCTCGGCCAGTGCACGGCTCTGTGCCCCAGGCGAGGCAGTGGGTCTCAGAAGCAGGGTGTGATGGGGCAGCACTGCTCCCCTCAGGGAGATGCCCCCATGACCCCCTCTACAGCCGGGCCCCACCTGCCTACGGCCACCACCCAGTGGGTCAACGCTGGCCTGCACTGATCAGGCGCCAGCTCTCACAGCCCCTTCCTCTGAGCACCCCTGCATTCGCAGGCGCTCTGGGGAGGCCTCCTACCCCACCCCAACAGTGCTGAGGTCAGGTGACCCGGCTCACTATGAATCCTCTGATTATGGGCTGGTAGCTTTAAGCAAGCCTCTTCCTCATTCACGGTTTCCTCCTTTATGGAACGGATGATAACACACTTTAACTGCTTCACAGGATTCTGGGGAGGGTCAGTGAATTACAGGGTGGGACGGAGCTATGACCACACAGATACCCCAGCACCCAGCAGCTACTAGTCACCAGCTGTCCATGGGTTGTGTGTGGGTCACCGCACACCGAAGCCTAGTGGATAGAGACATCTGGTGTCTGGGAATGACCAGTAAACATTTTCTTTGGTCATTTCCCCAGACACACAGTGAATCTCTATCCTGCTCTGCCAAGACCCACACAGCACCTGAAACGGGTATTATCATTGTCAAGTCGGGCGCCAACAAAGATGCCTGTTAATCAACGGTATCTCCTGACTCACGCCAATCCTGGAGTTCAGCCAGTTCCCCTGACCAACTCCCGTGGGACAAGGGACCCTAAAAATCCCTTTTCCTGTCCCTAGCTCTTCCCTTCCTGCCATGAGCCCCATTAAATCCCACACAGTTTCTCCTTAGGCCCTTCCCTGACCACTCTGTCGGTCTGATTGAATTCCACCCGGGGATGAGTCTCAAGTAAAGCCTCCTTCAGTGCTCTTTTTAAACCTGCCTCCTTTGGTCGCTGCCTCCCTTGCCTGTCTCACAGGTGTGACGGCCAAGAGGCCAATCAACCCGCTGACTGCAAGACACCACACAGGAGACTGGGCCCAGAAGCCTCATCCCTGCCTGGGATGAGCAGCTTCCATCAGCCCCAGGAGCCTCTTTCCTTAGTCTAGTTCCACCTGAAGCCAGAATCGGTCGGATAGACAGGAAAATCAGGTCAGCTCAGGTGAGTCAGGCCAGTTTTGCCCAGGGGTTGAGATGTTACTCCTTCAGGGCCCTTCCTCCACCCCTCCACCCTCCAGCCGGTAGCTAAGGTCGCCTGCCCCAGGAATGCCCCCTCCCTACAGGGAACACAAGGTTGTTAGTGTCCTGGGCGGTCCACCCTGCCCTTCCCCTTTCGGCCCACCTGTTTCTCACCTTTGGCCATCCCACTGGGCATTCCTGGGCCTAGTCACAGAGGCAGGAAGGAGAAAGATAAGGGAGAAAAGGCAGGAGAAGAAAAGACGCCTAGGACATACAACAAGGGCAAACACCTCGCCTCCTGGGACACCAGGACACCAGCTATGGCCCCCTTCTCCCTCCCTGGAGAAGTCTGTTTCCCCTTTTTAAATAAACCCTGCTTTATATGCTTGCCTCCGCGTGCTTCTCTAAAGTCAGACTCCAACACGGGAGTCACCGGTAACCCGCCACATCACAGCTCTCGGGTGGATGGGACGCATCAGGGGCTCCGCTTTTTTTTTTAGAGAGAGAATTTATTTATTTTTATTTTTAGTTTTTCAGCGGACACAACATCTTTGTTTGTACGTGGTGCTGAGGATCGAACCCGGGCCGCACGCATGCCAGGCGAGCGCGCTACCGCTTGAGCCACATCCCCAGCCCAGGGGGTCCGCTTTTGTTGATACTTTCTGACTCTGTGTTTTGTTCCTCTCTAATCATTTTAGACTTCTAAGTTTCCAGGCGGCTTACACCTTTCTTGGCAGGAAGAAGAACCCCCCAACGAGACGCTGGCAGTCACCCCTGTTAGTTTATGTTACTTAATATCTACAGCAACCTTATGAAGGAATCCTAGAAGTTTTGCAGATGAGGAATCAGAGGCTTAGCCAGGCTAAGGAGCGATCCAAGATCTCATGGCCACCAAGGAACCCTGAGGCCCCAGCTCTGATGTGCAACAGGCACCAAACCAGTTAGACATGAGTTTCAATAAAGTCACAAGAGAATCATATGCAATTGGACTCGTGAATCCAAGCCTGGTAGGCCGTGAGGTTTCAGATTCAGAACCCATCATTTCACCTGAGGCCTCCTTTTTAACCACAGCTACTAGGACCAGGGCCTCCCACAGGAGCCACCCTGCTGCTGTTGCCCTTGCAGGACACTAGAGGAGGGTCCACAGAAGGTCAATGCCCAGAGAAAAACACTACCCACATCAAGATCTCGCTCTACAAAATAGTACTTCAAAACAGCTCTCAAAAAATGATTTTAATACATCTAAATGAAACTAATTTCCTTGTCATAGGTGAAGTAGATCCGACCCATTACACTTGTGGGAACTAAGGACTGTTTCATAGGGTACAGATGAAGGGAGCGGAAACATCTGGATTTTTTAGGAGTTTCACCTACTAGTGTGATAGTAGGAGCAAATGTGACTCCATTTTGTTTTATGGCTTCATCCTGTAAAACAACCATGCCAACTACACGGGTCAGGCCTGGAGCAAGATTTCTTTTCCTTTTCTTATAGAAACCTTTAACATTAGCAACTACCTAATGGGGCATTGTTCTGTAACTAGGGTAACAGGGCTCTGTTTTCAACTGGGGTGACTGGGCTAGCTGTGATTGGTTAGGCTTCCCGCCACTTGACTGCACTGTCCCGCTTCTGTAACCTGGCTTGCTTGCATTGGCTAGACCCCCCCGAACATCCCTTTTGTGGTTTTCAGGCTTATAAGGAGTGCCCTTGCAATTGTTCGGGGCTGATCAGGGGAACAGCTTTATGTTCTGGTCAGCCGCCACCGGTGTGCTTCAATAAAGGCTTGATTGATTTTATGTGAGTGGTCTGGAAGTCGGTTTATGAAACCCTGGGACAAAGCTTTAACTATAACACTAGCATCCCAGTTTCTGGGACAGCAAAGGCTTCATATATGAGAATCAACTCCTTCATTTGCTAAGCAGGAGGGACCTGCAGCTACCGTTCACGGACAGAAAAATTGCATGAACCAGGGTATAAAAGCAACACAGAAGTAACTTTGGAGTTTGATAAATTTGTGAGTGCCACACCACTCACCTGTCTTGGAAACCAAACCCAGAGACTGCAGAGTGAGCCATGTTCCTACAACATTAGTACAATTTTCAGAAGGTATAGGATGTACCAAGTGTCACATTACCCAATGCAGCAGTTTCCAAAGTGTGGCCACGAGGGCTGCCAGGACCCCCCTCCCAGGCTACACAGTCCAACTGCTCTCACTCTGCCCCCAAGAGGCCAGCTGTCTCCAAGTGCGCTGATATTCACACTGGCAGAGCACACCAGTCAGACAAGGCTGCCAGCGTGAGAGAGGAGCGAGTCCCAGGACCAGCAGGGACTGTGGCCTTCACAGCCACACACTTGTGGTCTTCAAAAAGCCAGTCTCATTGAAGCACGTTTAACGAAGCACGACAAAATGCTTCATTCTATTAGTTAATCTATATGTTTTGAATTATTTGGGTGCATGGAAGAAGGAAGCATACATAAAGCACTTTTTTTTTTTTTTTGCTTCTCTTTTCTGGTGCTGGGGTTTGGACCCAAGCATGCATGCTCTACCACGGAGCCACATCCCCAGTGTTTTAGTTTGAGATGGGGCCTCACGGGGTAGCCCAGGCTGGCCTTGAACCTTGCTCCTGTTGCCTGTGCCTCCTGAGCCACAGCATCACAGGCGTGCCAGCATGGTGGGCTTGCACGAAGTACCCTTGGTGCATATCTTGACATGACGGCTGTTTCAGGAACAGCACTCATGGGACAGTTTGAGCAGTGAGCTGTACCCAGCAGGTTTGTCCATGGAACCCACTTCTACCCCAGGAGATGCAGACAAACTGGGCACTCAGACTTGGGTTCTGCAGAAATGCTCTTGAAAATGAAGGAAGCGAACATGCCACCTAAAGGAAAGGGCTGGTGCAGTTCACCCCAGCGACGACTCGAGCCTCTGGAGGAAAGTCAGACTGCCTTTTTAACAGTGGGCTTACCAACTGTGCCTGGTAGCTGTGGTGACATTAACCAACGGGGTTCTGAAAAGACCGTTCAGTGAACAGCACTGGCACCGGCAGACTAGCGTGGCCTGGCAAGACGGGTTTCTCAGGGGACGACACAGAGGCTGGAAGCTGTGCAGCAGAATGGCCTCCAGGGTGTCAGGGAGGCCAGCATCTGTCACTGAGCTGCAGCATCAGAGTCACCTCCTGTGGGTCCAGAGCCCTCTGAGCCAGTCTGGAGGGCACTGCCTGTGGTGGCGTGCTGCAAACCAAGAACCACTGTCTTCCCACCCATGTGTGGACAGATGAGCACCAGAGCAGGTGACGGCTACAGCAGGCGTGAGCAGCAGCAG